TGTTTTCTTGCAGGCAGTTAACATCAACTTGGAAAGGTCGAAGAACAGAATTTATTAAAAAAAACCAATACATTTCTTCATTGTAACAGTTCAGTATCGACGGCAACATGCCGGATAAACGTTTCCTACCATCACTTGCTGTCTATGGTACCTAGACAGTAATTAGTTTCTTGTACTTTGTGGTATGTTTGTGGGATCTTTGACAATATCTTGTGAATGCCTTGTATGTGATGAACGCAGTTACATATGCAATCAACAGGATACCAAAAACCATGATTGTATCTTTATTCTCTTAAACATCTTAATTTGTGAAATGAAGGTAATCGAAAATGTTTCATAACAGCATGATATTGTTTAGTTAAGACAGCTTCTAATAAACGTCTATATTTGAATTGCAAACCATAGGATCTTCAAATCTCCGCTCCATCAATGCAGTGTTTATTAATATTGACTTTTATGATGTTAAATTTACCTTTTGAGTTTGAACAGTTTTCAGTATTTAACGAAATGTTTATTGACTTTTCAGCGAATTGCCTTGAGCAGCATGGACACATTATTGCCATCTTGCTATTGTATCTACCGTTTGTCCACTGGCACAGGCTAAATATAAAAATATATATATATATTTCTATTTACCAAACACTGTATATTTAGCATATATTATTTCACGTGAAGAATAAGCATAGATATATATTTTTTTTAAATTTGTATCACGAAAAATACCTTTTCAGCAATAAAAAAAACAACAAAAAAACCAATTAATTAACTCTGTTATGGATTTCGCTATTGGGCAATTGTTAAGGCAGATTGTGGTCCAAATTGAAAACGAAAACAAAATAATACTTTATCAAATAATGTAGTTTACATCATGTTTTTTTTATACAGTATGCATCATGAGTCATGGAGTTTTGTTTTACCTTGCTGGTAGAATGATTTTGTAAAGATTATCCATTCTATATCTTTTTTGATAGTACACACTAGATGAATAAAAAAAACACACACACACAAGACATCAACGTGTACGTTGCATCAATGGAAGTATCCAGTGTACTCTGAGGATAATTTAGGAATTATGATTATGGTTTTTTTCTAGCAAAATATACTGACTTGAATGTACTAAGGCATTGTATTGCTTTGCTGTAAGGAACAACACATTCGTGTTCGTTGCCACATGCTTTTGAACGCAATAATTTTCTGAAGTGTGCATTGTATTAAGCATATTTTAATAAGACAGCCTATACAATAGGTTTGGTTAGTTTGTCCTTATCAACATTCTTAACCCCAGATTTGAATAATGTTCATGTTACGCACTTGTTTCGGATGTTATGTTGACTGGTACTATGTTTCCCTATATGTATTTGTCAACTGCTGTTTTGTTTTTTGTATACCCTTTTCAATTGTCCATGTATTTCTGAACAATTTTGACCGATAGTATACATGTTAGCGGCAATAAGTAAAATTAGGCATTAAGCTGAAATCCTGGGCAATAAGCTAACGCCTAGGCAGTAAGTCTAAATAAGGATAGGCATTAGTCTTCAATTCTAGAATTTAAACTTAAATCCTGAACATTATGCCGAGGCACTAATGTTAATGCCTAAAATGAAAATGAGAGAAAATAAAAAGAAATTTATTCAAAGTTAAAATACATTTTGTACATAATAAAATAATAAGCGTTGAAGTTTAAATGTCAATTACATGAAGTGAAATATTGATATTTAAACTCATTGAACAAACCTCTTAAAATATATGTATACTTGTTGGATAGTTGTCCCATTGACAATCATACCACATCTTCTTATTTTTATATTGATAGAAAATTGTATTGACATTTTTGTTAACGCTTGGTGCGGAGCTATGGCACAGACTATTTCACAGTTTTAAGTTTTTCTAGCATTTGCACCTGGTGATTGTCCAATACCTTTGTGTAGAGCAGAATTCTTTTGTCTATGGACGAGTTTGATTCCATTTGACCACTGTTAATTTGTGGTTCCTCATCCATGCAGTAAGCATGCCATGAATATTTCCGTTTGACCACTCAATACTTCCCTGTGATTGGAGATGTATTGGCTTCCAGTGAACAATAACTAGTTCATTTATTCAGATATAACCTAAGTTGTAAATTCACGACCGTTGTCACTTTGCTGCTTATGTTACACCAAATATTGTGAAAATCTAAATTAAATTAGAAGCCACCATTGAAGCACGTTTTGACGTAAGAGCTCTAGTAATATAAAATAGTTTAAGGTGATCGTAGTACACCATAAGAAAATATTGTTTCCATCTTACTTTGATTGTAAATCCATTAAATGAACCTGTCCTCTATTGTTAAACTCTTTGAATAAAACGGGTTTTACTACTACTGCCTTCCCTGTGCACTTTTTATCATGTTACAATTTTCACAAAATGGAAATAGTACAATGGAATCATGGAAAATGTTCGGATAACCATTATTATGTTGTTTAATTATACGGTCTTTAATAATAATAATAATAGGCCGCTATGACACTTTCTGCATGTGTTTTTCACAAAATACCATACAGTTCCTCTAGAAAAACATAAACTTTGAAATTTCCCTCATCATTCTCTTTGACTTTAGTTACCAGTCTTTCAAAAGTCCTCAAATAGTAAAAAATATCATACCATTTTAAATTGTAATAGTCTATAGCTGCCTTCTTCTCTGATTTGAAAAAATTAAACTTTACCAAATGGTCATTGTACTTTTGCCTTGGGTAGACAATCTTTGTTTTCTCTGATTCAAATTTATATTCCGCAAAGATCCAAGAAATTTGTTGTTGCTTCAATGCTAATAATCTAGATTAAGAAGTGAAAAGACAAGATGGGTATTTAAGAAAACTTTACATATCCAATAAAACAGATAGAAAGATGATGTGATTGGCAAAATTTCATATCTTCAGGTGTCAATTTTTGACCAGCTCAAACCGGCTCGACCAGTGAAGAGTGACTTTTCTTTAAATAATTTTCAGATAGAATCTTCAATTTCCCCTTTTCCATTAGATACAATTATTTGTTTGAAATATTTTGTTTTTGAAATACCACAAAAAAATACCAGTAAGTTCTGTTTTGAATACGAAAAAACACTTAACATTGAGGATCTTTGAAATATATTTACATTAAGTTTTGGAATATAGTTTTTAAAATATTATTCATCAAGAATATTTCACCGAATGTACACGTATTAGGAAGATAAACCAAAATTACAAAGTTCACTTATTGCCTGAAACGATGTTCGACAATAGGTTGAATAATCTTCATCAGATTTCAGAAAATAAGCTTAATGCATGAAAATTTCAGGCAATAAATTAATGCATAGGCGTTAGCTTATTGCCTAGGATTTAAGCTTAATGCCTAATTTCACTTATTGCCGCTAACGTATATATTGCCACACGAAGCAAAAACAGTTTTAAAACAGCAATGCAGCATTTATTCTGTCGATACCATTGATGATTCCATTATTTTATTGATGATACTATTCTTAACCCAAAATTAATAATTTCCTTTTAAAAATCTGATTTAGGTATATACAATCACGGGTATTGGTGTACTTACATATATCTTGAATGTTGTCCACTTTAGAAACTTTTATAATTATAATCTATTAGATCAAAGAAACTGTTGATCAAATGTAAAAATCAATAGTACTTGTGATCATTTATCTAAATTTCCGGCGTTTGTAAATTAAATTGATTTCCTCTTGTGCTTATACCAGGGAAATATTTGTTTCCGAAATGAAATAATGTGAATATGTGTTTTAATTACAATTATTTTAATAAAACATAACATTGGGTTTATAGGTTAATAATTTGGTCAATCTTTTTACTAATAAAAAAGCTTATTTTAGTCTTTGATACATTATTTTTTATTAGATTTTATTTGCTTTGAAATAACTGTCAGTAACTCCGAATACTCTCATATATGTACGTTGTGTCTTTCTTGTTTTTAACGTGCTTGTTCAAAAAGTAACAGTCAGTAGAACGGCTTGTAACCCTACTCGGACACATTATTCTGACTCGGAGCCGACCAGTCTTTGTTCTTACTCCTTAATATCATTTCCTAAGCGGGGAAGTAGCAAATACCAATTTCAAAGTCTTTGGTGTGACCCGGCCTTGGTTCGAACCCATGATCTCTCGCACTCGAGGCGAACATTCTACCATGACTACACCAAAGCGGTCATGCAGTTAAGGTTGCACTTTGTAAATACAGCTGTTTCTCAAACCACGCCTCTTTTGGGGAGATATAAAATATTCATAGATATGTTAATTTGTTAATGTAATGGTTCCCATTTATGATCTCTGTGTTTCATTTCATAGAGACATCACTTGGGAATGTAACCAGTATAGAAAAACATGGTAGCGCCTAAATTTTAATTCTTAGGAGGTCCAAATATGGAGGTAAGGGTAATATAGAATTTTAGTATAAGTTTAAACTCTTAGAAGTTCAGGGCATATAAATGTTGAAAATATGCCGCACAGCCCTATATTTTGACCTTTGAATAAAATAGAAGTGCATATAAACTTTCCGTTCTGGGATATTATTTTTCACGAAACTTCATAGTAAAAGTGTAACAGTTTTACCCGCAAAGAGAGTTCCTATGGGAAATTGCATTGTCTATATTTACAGAATTGCAACCTTAAGAATGTCGCTTCAATAGACCACAATGATGTAATGTATAAAGGATATAACAACATAACATTTAATATAGGACATAAATGATAGATTGGTACTAGGATTCAACCTCTCAGCTACATGTCATATTATTATAATTTTGTCATTTAAACCTATGACTTCAAGCTGTTTGTATATTTTCTCATCTGTTTCTTCTTCTGTTGTTTTTTTTTTTCATCTATCACGATCTTTATTTTCATTCATGATTTGTATAACTTTATGTACAAAATGTTACGAAAGTACCACAGGTGTTAATAACTGTACCAAATCGAGTACAACGGCTTGTTATATACATAATTTACATATCATAAATGATTATCTTAAAATAAAAGTCATGACCATTTACAGAGTCCAGTTTCATTAACTCTACACTTCAATAGGCTGATGTTGTGTTCGTTTTGGAAATATTCTACTTGCACTTGAAGAAGAAATATACGACACTCTTTTCAGTTCCATAGCGTTACTCACTGGTCTGTCAGAGGCCGATTTTCGGTTACTTTTTCTGTTAAATATTCGAGATTCTCGACCATATCGTTTTCTAGTGTTACGTAGACAACTTGCACAAGCTGCTGATAGCAAAACCAACAACAGAGCAGCTGATACACTGATCATATAAATATATATTTCTGGAAGTGATCCTTCTGAAAATATAAACTACATAATGTAAATTCAGGATTGTGCATTATTTACTGCGATATTTCTACCTTGGACTGAAATGCAAAATTTTGAAGTGTAATTTCTAAAGACTTTAGGATTACAAATACAGTTTTTTTTTAAATGACTTAAAATTGTGTTCATAAACATACGTCCTTTTAAAACTTCATAATTAAGGATTAATAGAAAGTTGAGACAGTTGAACACACCTTAGGATAATATGAGTTATATCTATGATTAATGAAACTCACTAAAAATAATGCTATTTTTTTCCAAACATGTTGTATTTTAAAACCTCGCCATTCATATTTCAATTAACAATGTTTTCATTTATCACAGAGTAAAAACGATATAGCTGGTTTGTTTCCGACGAGTACATATATTAAGACACAAATCTGAACTGTCTAGCTTTTGGAGTCATTTAATCCTAATGTTTGTTTCACTGTCACAACTATCGATTTACCCTTGCTTTATGAAGTTTCAGAAAGGATTTGTAATTGAACGCACTTTTAATGGAAATCAGTGATGTGCACATATAGACTTACCGGTATAATTATTATAAGTGGTGGAAAATAATATGAAAGATAATCGACTGTTATAGATGAATATAATACATTTCAAGATCGTACGCGTGTTGTATTTCTATATAGTGTGAACTTTTATTTTCAAAGATGTCATATGTTTAACATGTACGACATTAACAAGTAACGGTTTTCATACATTCAAATAGTGAGACATATATATGTGACTTATCAATACAATGTCTGATTAAGTATAACGTCATGAACAATTTTGCAAAGTAGTAATTGGCATACTAATCAAAACCATCATGATTCCATAATAACGATATAATTTAACAAGAGGAAAACCCGAAACGTCAATATTTCGTTTCCAAGATTACCTGTTGTATTTGAAACCATGGTAGTATTGTCTGCACCAGTTGACGACATAAATGTATCGGAAGTTTCCATGTTTTCTCCTAATTAAATAGATCAAGTTCAGATAACCATTTGCGTCCTCAGTAATTTTCTTTTCAGAGATCTAGACAAAAACATAAAGTAGGTCTTGTTATATAATGGCCGTTACCTACATGTAGTGCATTATTCATGAATCATTTCTGTAGGAAAAGTTACAATTTATTGATTATAACAGACAGCGAGATCAATAAGCAGATATCTCAACACAGACAACGTTAATATAATATTAAACATCAGCCAAACGCACCTGACAAATATCACACAAAGCATTTAAACTAATCATATTTTATGTTAGATAAAGTTATTTGCCACACTAACACTGAACATTCTTATTAGTTAGAAAATTACTGAAATACTTGATTTAAATCTCAATATAGTATATCATTGACAAAATTCATTGGTTTACATTTTAGACTTGCGTGTAATAAAAGCATGATAAGCATGACATGTGATACTTATGTATTGGAAATTCGTTGTATTGCCTTCTTTTCAAATCATACCACCTTCCCCAATAAAAATAAAACCCGACAAAACATATAAATTTCGCTTTTAGGGAAAAAATGTTATTTGTTGTGTCTATTTAGTTATTTATTGTCTTATTGTGTACTTGTGTTTGTTCTCAGTTTTCTCATTGTACTACTTTTGCTATCTTCTTATATATTTTTTAATTTCAGTAAACTTGGATTACGTGTACGTGTATGTTATTACTATAGATGTCTTGTGTGCCATAGAATTATTGAGAGGCATCTGATGACCTATAAGTGCTTTTTGTGTATTTCGCAAATTACGAGTCAATTATACATGTTATAGTAAATAAAACATTTAAAAACCAGTCTCTGTCATAGCCAGTTATACACATCAGCTTGATGCCGGAAATATTTGTATATCGATTTCACTATTTTTATAGCATTGTCCTAAAGTTACGCTTTGAACTTTTGGTTCGTTTTAAAACAATTGATACATATTTTTTGTATTCACCTTAATTAATAACGTTTACAATAAAAACAAAATGAATGCAAGGAATTTATAAAAGTAAAATAACAAAGAAACATAACAATGAGTAGCGATCATTTTAAACGATGCACAATCAAAATTACTTTAGAAATCGTAAAAGGAGGGACCGAATTTGTTTAAGTTTAATGTTTTTCATAATTGATTAAGACGTTGTAAGAGAGGAATATTTTTTTTTTCATAATTGCTTTAGACAATGTTAGAGAGGAATACCTTTTTCATAATTGCTTTAGACGTTGTAAGAGAGGAATACTTATTGCTCTTAACTAACTCGAGCTAGGTACTGATTTTATGAAATCAAAACATATACGATTAATAGCTTTGTAGTTGTTTGCACTTCTCATTTGTGCTAAATGTAATACATTTTGACCTAAATAATGAATTGAAGGAATATGTTGTTAGAGTAAACAGACCAAATATGGTCATATTAGATTGTATTGCTAACACGAGATCCATTCCATATTGAAAATCTAAACATACATCAAATTCAACAGATGTAAAAGCAGTTCACTTTTATAATTAAGCAGAGTACATGCATGATGAATGAAGACATGTCATAATCCAACGAACAGATTTGCTGCTCAGTCATATTTTTTTTTAATACATTACTTATTTGCAAACAAAAAATGCGTAAGTTTTTTTAATTGTACTATCTAAGTATAAGTCAGGACGAACGCTTGTCAACTTTCCATGAACTACTAAAATATAAAGATATTTATAAGGTAGAACAAAAATTTGAACTCCCAAATATGAAATTATCCAAAACTTATTGCGATTGACTTGTAGTGTATTTTCATTTTACACAAAGTATGCTGACACGGAACATAACAAATACCGGCACATTGCAATGGAAATGTTTTGAATGATTTTTAGTTTAGTTTTATTAAATCATATTTATGTTATAAACTGGATATCCCATAAGTCTTTGTTACAATACATAATTTTTTAAATAAGACTTATACATGCATATTTAAAATGCCAATAAAATACAACTATTGACTTAATGTAATAAATATAATTACCCTTTGATAGACAGTCACCCTATTGTTTAAACACATACTTGTTGGCATAAATCAATTCAAGTACATACTTGTTGGCTTTAATCAATTCTAGACACACATTAATGTATTAGGATCAGAAAATATCTAACGGAAATGCATACATGCTAAAAAAGATAAAACACCTTCCTTCGAAAATATCACTTACAAAAATTGTTACATTGTAATACAAACTATTATTCACATTTTAATGAAGTCCTGTGAAATAGGCATATCGTTTAGTTCAACAATGAAATATTATTTTTGTCATTACATTTTGGTCATAGGTGTTTGATTGGTTATTGACCCGGAACAATAATACGTTTAACATATTGTGCCATATTAAGTATAAAACAATATGAAACTAACATAGCTATGCATGCAAAAATAACCCAACATAGAAAACAATACGAAGGAAACAGTAATCATGAAACACTAACAAAAGAAGAAACGAAGCAAAGAAAACAAATCAAAAGCTAACATACATGACACACGAAAACTGAATTTATGATGAATGGGATAACATAAGAGTTCAATAAAATAATAATCAAAAAATTTAATAAAATTAAATAAAAAAAGACCTACAATCACAAAAGCATTTTCCACTACACCAACTTCTAACGATTTGTGTCTTATTTTTATGTGTTTGACATACAGTAAGGCATATGTAGTTCATTAGGAAGTGTTGTTTGTAGTTAAAAAAATGTAATACTCACACAACATGTTTTCATAATCAGTATTCCTTGAACATGTGTGTTAATTGTTGTACGTTAGACGCCTTCTTACATTTATTCAATTGCTAGTTTTGTTATATCTATTGATTTATATCGAATTGTATTTTAAGTAGGACTGTTTTGTTATAATTGTATAACTGTTGACAAGTTTGAATCAAAAAGATGCCGTAAAATGTACACGTTGCAAATGAAATTACCGGTTAAAACTAGTTTTCGATATTGCATAAATTACAAGAACCAACTAGAATTAAATATGTTTAATTTCTCTACTTACACATGCTAAGGCCACACCGATTTGATTAATAGTTTTTTGGATTGTCTCGCTCCTTTTTTTGGAGAAATAGACTTTTCAATAAAAAAAAAAAAAAAAAAAAAAAAAATTACCGCTTCTGCAAATTTTTGGTCCGCATGCCGCTCCAAAATTAGTATCTCATTGAATATTTTTTCACATAGACGTTTTCTGTTGCATATAATGCTCTTATTGTTTTAAACGATTTTGTGATAAATCGATTTGTAAATAAAAGGTAAAAAATCGGGATGGCAGCTTGCAGTTGTTTCAGCTCATTGCCGTTGACAAGTTGTTATTGAACACACTGTTATCCGAAATGCTTCTCGTTTTATCTTTAAAGACCTGTTCTAGGATGCAACAATTAAAAATCTTTCGTTAAATGACGACAAACACATCAATATTTGTTAGAACCATCGTCACCCCCCGATCCTTCTTTCAACAGGCATAGAACTACTTATCTTTTAATGAAATGAATTGTAAATTCGCATGAACTTTAAAAAAAAAAGCACAGACGTATTTGATTTGATGAAATCCCATATCCCCTTGTCAGTCTTTTGGCATGCAAGCATAACTCTTCTTTTGCTGGGGGGATTTAACGAGTTCCAACGAGACCAAGGTGATGCCGTATTGTGATTGGCAAGCTCATAATAATTAAGGGTGTGTAATTGGTTCAAACCACTTCTAGTCAAGCTTAAATACATTACAGATTAATACTGGTTCTCTGTAACTATTTAAACTTTTATATAGGGAGTGTGGCACGCATGGTCATAGATTTTCTTCAAACTTCGCACACTTACTAGTCTTGATGAAACAAACAAAAAATGGCAAAATTTTGGTTGCTAAGCATATCAGTTGCCATAGCAACCGATGACCAGTTTTACTTCTTCTGGATATCTATGATTTTAAGCTGAAAATGGCTATTTTCAACATAATTTTTCATAATAAATGATTAAAAGAAAGAATATTTTTTTATGATTTTATTAAATATATGCATTTTATTAATGTAATTTAATAACTGATATTTTCATATTCATTTTTAATCATAATCACATATACCCCCCTTTTTATGTGGTTTGCATTAGTTAAAAAATACCCTTTTGAGGTCATTTTTGAATGCTCACCATAATTTTTTGCGGACACCTGAGTTATAGGTCAACCATCAATTCATAAATACCATAGTCTTGTCTTATCAATGATGCGAAAAAGTAATGGGGAAGTATGTCTCATTTTTTTGTTACCATGGATTCAAAATGCTTAGTTTTCATTTTTTCAGAACAAATTTTTTGGAAATTTTTGGAAAAAAAATGCTTTTAAACCTAATTCTGCAGTCAGAAAAAAATAAATAAATATACAATTTGTAGAAATGATTGTAATCATCAAAATTTGAAACATATTCATACATAAGGGTATTATAGTTTTAACTGTGTTGTTATGGAAACAATTTCATGATGATACACAAGTTTAAAACAATTTTGAAAAAGTTTCAGTTAGTTTCTTAAATGTGCACAAAAGCAGGAAAACGAAGATTATTAAGTTTCACTGTATACACACATGTGTATATACAAATAATTTTGCTGGTATAGTATATCGATAATGGTGTTACCACTTGAATGAAACACATACAATTTCTCTAATCTGGATAAAAGTGCTGATTATGAAGAAATTGCAGTCTGTTTTCATGATTATGAAAAATGTACAAGAAAAACAATGACTGCATCTAGAAAAAACAAATAAAATCATTTAAAAAATTCTATATTCAATTATGCAATATTTGCCATTGAATGTGTTGCCATGGAAACATGCTGTCCATTTGCAAAAATACTGATAAGTGCTAATTTTTACAAATTCATTTAATGAATTTCGATACATATAACAAAGAGTGTATACAATTTTGTAAAAAAGAAATGATCGATTAGTTGTGGTTTGCTTTATGTCCAGTGTCAAACATCTCATGCATATTTCAGAAGAGAACAAAACCAATAAATTTAATAGGAACATTGTAGGTCCTGTGCTAGTTTACTGAACAAAAACTTCAATAATTTGAAACAATTCAACACAATAAAAATTAGAACCAAAAGAGTCAGACGTTGATCCTCTAAAAAAATGATAATTGACCATCTAACCTTTCTATAAAGGAAAAAGTACCTTTATTATGAACTGTTTATTTTTCTTATTCATTCTTAAACTCAATGTTGAAATGGCAAAGCATGTATACATGTAGCTATACGTTTTGAATAATATTGTACTATTGGATGTTGAGTATCTACATGAAGATCATTTTTATAAAAGTTATAAAAAATCAAAAAAATCAAAAAGGTCCTTCAATAGGTGTAAGCTGGGATGAAGGCAGACAATTTGAAATATCACTAGAAATCGGGATCAAGGACAGAAATTTCAATAGATCAACTAGGGAGCCCCTAAAAAAAGGGCGTAACAAGCAAGGGTGGGTACGATCGGCCGTCGACCTGATGGTCACTGCTATTCATCCGACACATTTCTTGTTTGACATTCTGGCCGGGGAGGAATTTTCGAGATTTTCCAAAAAGTTGCGTTTCCCTAAGAGGACCCACGGAAAATCGGTCAGCGGGTGACTGCTGGACTTACAACGAGCAGTAGGGGGAAAATATACCATCTAGACAATTGTCATATCAGGGGTACCACTGACTGCCTTAAGAGATGCCCTCTACATTCATGCTTCAGTGATTCCATATGTAATCAACCAAATGTTTCCAATGAAAGGAGGGGGCGGGCCCTCATGGCCCCCTGGATCCGCCTTTGGTAGCACTATATTTACATTAGTATAAGGCATTGGATTATTGAAATTTGAGAAAATAACAGTAATCTTAATGGATTTTTAGCAGCAAATTAAAAAATATTGACAACATGATAACTCTTTACACAGGGTAACTTTAAAAGAATTATATGCATGTACATATACTTTGATTTCCACTGAAAGTCCATTACAAAAAGATGTTTCTCAAAATTAGAATATACATGTAATTGTCTTTCTTTAAACAAAAAAAAATTATATTTTACTTTGAAGCAGAAGTCTATGTTTATAACATATTATCATGTGACTTTTTGTCCGCGACTTTTTGTCTGTGACTTTTTGTCCTACATTCTGACCGTTATCATGACCAGAAAAAATGACTTAATACCTATTTAAATGTAATAGGCTTTGCATCAAATTTATAGAAACACTTAGATTGAACCATTAATTCTATCAAATAAGAAAATATAAAATGATTTACAAACTTTCAGGAACATAGACTAAGACAAGGCTCTGATAACCCTCAAGTTAAGTCCGCGAATATGTTTACTTATATTTTATGAAAATATTTTAAACTACAAAGATATCGTGCATGCAGGGGCTCGGGCATACCTCAAGTAGTCTGCGAAATGTGTATTTGTTTTTGTGAAAATATTAAAAACTGCCAAGATATCCTGCAGTACGTGGAAATAACTATTTACTGTTAGAAAATATTAAAAAACAAACTATATTGGATTTATTAACTTACATGTATGTATGGACTACTTCAAACACACCTTTTTAGTTACTTTATATTTGTGATCAAACCTGTCAAATTATAACCGGTAATATACAACATAATTTACAACACAGTTAAGTACAATATACTACATAATACCATAAAAAGTTTAAATAATTCGGTGCTCGTCATAGTACCCTAAACTGTTTTACCCAGTTTTTTACCATTCAATCTTAATTCTATTTTTTTTTTTATAAATTTAAAGAAAATCCCATAATATATAAATAAGTATTAGGTAGTACAACGACCAGGACCCAGTCAACGTTGGTCAGGTCAAGTTTTTTTTTTTACCAAAAACATATATTTTACCTGTTTTTTTTTGATACTATGAAATAACACAGAAATTTTCATCGGTCAGGTCATTGCTATTGTTGGTCAGGTTATTGTCAACGTTAGAACGGTCACGTTATCTAAATATTTTATATTTTTTTCTATATTTTTTTATTAATTTATATATTAAATGATTAAACTTTATTATATTTCAAATCTAACATAAACCTTTAAAGAAATAAAAAAGTTATTAGCATTTTCATTTGGTCCTGGCATTGTCAGCGTTGGTCAGGTCACGTTTAATGAAGATTTAAAAAA